GAACACGCTGAACAGTTCTCTAAGGCCATAGTAGCGTTATAAGTGTGAGAGTCAAATCCCACTCTTAGAGTAACCGGCATGGCCAGGTGGTTAGGGTGCTCGACTCGCAATCTTTCAGTCGTGGGGGCGTTATAATGTGACGGTCAATCCCACTATTCGTTGGTAAAAGAGTAGCCCAAGAGTTGGCGGTGGGTGGTGATGACTAGCTGCCTTCCCTCTAGTCTTGCACTGCTAAATTAGGGACGGCTAGCGCAGATAGGCCTCGTGTAGCTTTGTGCGAAATTCAAAAACAAACAAACTTAGAGTAATTCAAGCGTTGGCAGTGGGTACTGTTGACTAGCTTACCTTATCAGTTTTCAATCAAGGTCGGTTAACGCTTTGCGCAATTTCGAAGACAAAGTACACGTCTCACCACCAGGGGCACTAAATTTAGCCAACTTTTCCATTGATAAATAATATTAAAATTGTTTTAAAAAAAAAACAGCGTCTGCTAGTGCTTTAAAAAGTCTGAAAAATTTCAAATATTTTGAAGGTTAGCACAGATAGGGAAAATGTTTACTGATCTGAAGAAAGTTCGGCAAATAATGAAAAAAGGGATGTATTGAAGTTTTTTAATGTGAACCTTAAACTAATTACGTTCGTTAACTCCCTCCACAAAGCAGCTCATGCAAACAATTTTATCTCCCTGTGAATCAACCAACCATTTATTTGAAGGAATTGTAATTGGGTTATTAGTTCCAGACTTTTCTTGAATTCTAGTTGGCTTCCGTTCTTAGTGGTGATAACAGTTTAATGCCACCAGGTTCAACCTATAGGGTCAGAAACTACTGTTGAGGTTCTTACTGGTAACGTCTGTCAATCTCCAACAAGCGTTTGTTCTAAAATATTGTTAGTAAACACATGAAAAACGCTTGATTTTTTCGCTGATCATTTGGTATTATTTTGCTTTTTCGGCTGCTTTCGGATACAAAATTTACGTGTTTTCAAAATCAAACTAAATAAACGACCAATTTCGATAAAGTTTTATTGAGATAAAGGTCATACCGATTTCAAAAAGCTACGCTAGGTGGTTTTTCTCACCTTGCTGAAGTGTCATATTTTAGGGTTAACGGTGTGTATACTGGGAACGTTTAAAAAACACAATCTGTAATAAATATAATAGTACTGTTGTATGTTCATGTAACTACTTCGCATGTTCTGTATGGATCTTCACCAAAATAGATATGGAGGTTCATTAGATCCATGCGGGGATACGTACCAATTTTCAGTTTTGCGATTTTTATGTGCGTTTTTGAGTCTTTCACCACTACTTCGCCCCCCTGATGATGGATCTTCACCATATTTGACATGAAGATTTGTTGGGTCCTTGTGAAGATATGTGCAATTTTTCAGTTTTGTGTTTTGCAGTTTTTATGGGCGTTTTTGCGTTTTTTTTTGTTTTTTTTTTCAATTACGTATAAGGGAAGCAACTTTTCATGTCCCAAGATAACCTTTCATTAATCGTGAATTTACATAACTTCCGTCCAGGGGGCGGGGTACTCCAGCTAGTATATAAATAACAGAAATCGTTTACGCAGACGTTATTCAGTTATTCGCTATATTAACAGAAGAAAGTAATAACACAGTAAATTTAGTGACACAAAATAACAACTGCTTGTGGGAATACTGGCGAAGTGCAGTGTGGGTCGTAATTCCGTCCCCAATCTCAGTGTTTCACGGCAAAGGTCAGGAACAGCGTTTCGTCTCTTGGGGATCGAGCCATTAGCACTGGGTTATTTAACTTTTTGCCGTGATTCCGTTTTATCTGTGATAATGTTTGTAAGTGAATAATGTGCAAGATGGCGCCATTTAACATCTGAGTGTGTTCTCGGGGAGTGCAAGTCCTCAGTTGTACCACACTGTTACTACAAAAGGGAGTTCCACCTCTTTCAAAATCCCAGTTTAACCATTGAGCCCCACCTGTTGGCCTTGCGGTTAGGGCGCTCAACTCGCAATACGAGGGTTGCGGGTTCAAATCCTCGTCACCGAACACGCTCGCCTTTTCAGTCTGAGGGGCGTTATAATGTTACGGTCAATCCCACTATTCGTTGGTAAAAGAGTAGCCCAAGAGTTGGCGGTGGGTGGTGTTGACTAGTTGCGTTCTTTCTAGTCTATCACCACTAAATTAGGGACGGCTAGCGCAGATATCCCTTGTGTAACTTTGCGCGAAATTTAAACCCCACCTCTTAGAGCAAGGGACGAGCAAAGCCTCAGTTCGAACTGAAAGTAACTGTCGTGTTAGGATAACATACAAATAGATACCTATATAGTTCCAACCCTGTAAATATTTGTGTGTGTAAAACGTTTTAGTTTTACTTAAAGCGGTGCACGGTCGGAAATCCAGGTTAAAGAAAAAAGGAAGCCTGAGGCCTTCAGCTACAAAAAAAAAGTATATTCTAAATGGTACAAGTCTGAAACAAACTTGAATGTAACAGTTAAATAGGGAGTGAGGGAGCTAACGTGAGCCAAACTTTAAGGCTTAGCGTCAAATAATCGAATTTAAGAATTTTGAAACGGGCTGGAAACTATCTGAGATTTCACTGTCAACAATGTAGACCAGGTGTAGCTAAAGCTGATGTTGAGAACTATGGCATGTGATGGAAAACACTGGGAGATGAATCGCCTGAAGAACGTTCTTAGCTATTTGGGTACGAAAATTTGACCAGTTTTGAAATCGAAATGACCATAAAAGAAAGAGACCACGATGACAAGTTCTTAAATTGGAATGCTCATATAAAAAAAATAATAAACAGTTTTTTTAAACTGTTTCTATACATAAAATGATCACGTTGACCAATATTTTAGTCAGAAAAGAAAATTTTGACCAGTACCTTACACTCAAATTTTCGCAAAAGTTTTTTTTTTTTTAATTATTCAAGTGAACGAATAGATTGACTATCTTGGTCAGTTTTCACAAATTAGGGATTTCACTTATAATTGTTTGTTACGGATTTCGCGCAAAGCTACACGAGAGCTATCTGCGCTAGCCGTCCCTAATTTAGCAGTGTAAGACTAGAGGGAAGGCAGCTAGTCATCACCACCCATCGCCAACTCTTAGGCTACTCTTTTACCAACGAATAGTGGGATTGACTGTAACATTATAACGCCCCCACGGCCGAAAGGGTGAGCATGTTTGGTTTGACGGGGATTCGAACCCGCGACCCGCAGATTGCGAGTCGAGCGCCCTAACCACCTGGCCATGCCGAGCCTTACGTGGAGCTAATGTCGGTAATACACGACACAATTAACATAAAAAATCATGACATTTCTAATAAGCCTTATCTCAGCTTTTAACGTATATTTACATACTACTCTCCTCACTTATAGACACGCCCTCTACTTGCATAGACACGCCAGTATTTTCTTCCCTTAAAACTGACAAAAATGGTCTATATATTCTTCAATCGTACCAAAATAAAAAAATCGCATTCTTGGCATTAATGGGTAAGTGTTAAAAATATGAATTTTTGTTGCTACGTTTTTATCTTTTTTTAAAAAAAAATTAGGCCTGGATTTGTAATCTTAAAAAAAAATAAAAAAAAGTGGTACGCAATCCTGAAACGTTTCCGAACCGCTGGGCTATATTTATAATCTTTACATATACTCGTTGACTTGTTTTTTTTAACGTTTGTTTGTAGTTAAGCACAAAGCTACATAAAGGGCTATCTGTGCCCTGCCCACCACGGGTATCGAAACTAGGATTCTACTGTTTTAAATCCGCAGACATGCCGCTGTGCCACTGGGGGCGTTTTTTTTAACAATATTTTCTTTTCTTTTTTTCACGAACGTGGTGTTTAATAAATAAAATGAAAGCATGGAAGTGACCACAGTTCTATTTCAGTCTTAGTTCTATTTTTTTTTAAGAAAGACTTCGACCACACTTGATTTCGGTATATAGGTATAGTCAAAGGTTTAGATTTTTAGAACTTTCTAAGATCCAACATTAATGATTCGTCAACGTATGACTCAAGCCACTTTCGCTTCTATTAATTGTACAAATATTTCCGTTTTTCATGTTGTACATAATTTAAGACTGACTCTGTGCCGAAAGTTGTATTGTTCGTTATAAAATAACTGTTGCTAGGAGAAGAAAATGTAACGTAATTGCACGTGAAATAAACCGTATAAATAATTCCAACGTTGTTTTGCAGCCTCGGCTACGCTGTGAGGCTTCCGTGCGTCGGTTGAGAGTTCTTGGTAATGATACATTTGCCAGTGTATTTAATTTCGGGGCCTGGTTACGGTATCAGCTTTACAGCACTGAAAGACCCGAGTTCGTTTTATTGACGAAACTGAGTTTTCGTGATTACTTATAAATATGTACGCAGGAAAGTCTTACCTAATAAATGCTTACAACGCACTCATTTACATATTATAATAGCGTACAGTTTTTACAGCTTTAAAGAAGTCTGGTTAAATTAAGGCTATATGTGTGTATAATATATACACGTTCTTGCAAAACAAAAAAACCCAACAACAACAAACAAACAAAAACAATTAAATGGTAATACACTGCTTATATTAGTGCAAGCTCGTGTCGTGCATGCGCAACTTTCTTTACTGGCTTTTTATATCGATGTAGAAGTTTGTTGTTAAACGTAATGTTACACGCACTGGGATATCTGTTCTCTGCCCACCACGGGTATCGAAACCCGAATTGTAGCGTCATAAGTCCACATATAATTACTTTTGAACCACCCGGAGGGTGGGGTAGTATCCGTGTAGAAGCAAGAGAGTCGTTTACAAGGTAATTAATCCATTTTGATCAATGACATAGTAGAACTAAAAAACAATCTTTTATAAGAAGTTGTGGTCTTGTTGCAACTGTAACTAATGTCTTTGTTTCATTTTATTTTTAAAGCGAAAGTTGGTTCAAGTAAGTAGCTGTAAGAACGAATATATTATGTAACCGTAAGTAGTATGAATGATAATTTTACTGAAACTTTTTTTTTTTTTTGCAGGGGGTTTAAAGTATTTAGCGCCATCTGGTGTTTATCACTACGAGGGTTGTGACTTTTTACCTCAACAGAAAATCATCTTGAATTTAATGTTCTTCCCTCCCCACCCAATCCCACCCCACCAACAGATGTGTCCTCTGGGCAGTATTCGGCAACTGTTCGTCACCATGACAACGGCTTCGCTTCCTCTCCTCGTGTTACTGAATGAATTTGTTGAAGACAGACCCGTAAACGGCGGCACGGACAGAAACGTTGTGAGATCATAAAGCAACGTCTCGAAATCAGCGGTGGAGTGGCGTTTTTGTTTAATCGCACGTTGCAAAGACTTAACGAACAGATTCTTTTTTTTGTTGTTGTTGTTGTTCTTCTTCTTGTTATTTCAGCATTTTTTTATTGTTTTAGTTGTCGTTCGTATAGACAGCAATGATATGGAGAGTTAATTTATCGTACGATAACTAGGGTGACAAGCTTCTGGGTGGTGTGTGTGTCATGGCGGAAGTCGAAAACGGACCATTAAATGAAAATAAATCTGTAAAATGCGAATTGAAATGTAATGTGGACAACATCAAATCAGCAATGGTTGTAAAGGAAGGAAGATTTGGAGACGGACAGAGTAAGGACGTAAGGAACGCGTCCGGAAAGAAGGAAAACAAAGAAAAGGAAAGGAGTAGCCCCCGGAAGTCCAGAAGGTCTAAACATTATGTAAGACCCTCTTTACCTCCTGTTCCAGTAGGTTGTGAAGCTGAAGAAATCGTGTGCAGTGCTTCCTTTCGACGAAGTGGTGTCGTGCGTGGGCGTTTAGTTAAGTCCTCTGGCGGCGAGCTTCTAAACTATTTTTGTTATTACAGTCGTACGGATTATAAACCCGGAGGTAAGTATACTTGTAAAAACGTAGACTACTTAACATTTTTATCGCATAAGTAGTAAAGAAAATAAATAACCAGCGACATAAGGTGATGATAATTATCATTGTTATACAGAAACGCAATATATATACTTTTATTTGGTAAAGTTTCGTGCGCGTGTTTGCTTATAACTGACGAACCTCCAGGACCTACTGCTACCAAACCTGGCATGTATCCTTAGAGCCCTCCTGTGAGTGACTTAGAGAAGACGGTTTTCGAATTTTATTCCCGCTCGCAATCTGCGGGTCGCGGGTTCGAATCCCCGACCGACCAAATATGCTCGCCCTTTCAGCCGTCGGAGCGTTATAATGTGACGGTCAATCCAACTATTCATAGCCCAAGAATTGGCAGTGGGTGGTGATGACTGGCTGCCTTCCCTCTAGTCTATCACTGCTAAATTAGGGACGGCTAGCGCAGATAGCCCTCGTGTAGCTTTGCGCGAAATTCAAAACAAAACAATTGTTTCCACTCTTCCCCATGTCTTATCCGTACTTGAATGAGTACGTCAACTAGTTTCCTTTTAATTTGCCCCCCAGTGGCATAGCGGTATGTCTGCGGACTTACAACGCTAGAAACCGGGTTTCGATACCCGTGGTGGGCAGAGCACAGATAGCCCTTGTGTAGCTTTGTGCATAATTAAAAAACAAACAAACAATCCTTTTAATTTAATAAAGAAATATAAACTGGGTCCGCGATACCCGTGATGGATACAGCAAAGATAGCCCATTGCCTTTATTTTAAAACTATTACATTGAAACGGATTTTTTTTTCTCTCCGAGTTCTTAATCAGATCCAGTTTATTGATTTGGAGCTTCTAGTGTATATGAAATCCAATCGAATTGACTACCGTGGTTTATCATTCATCTATATTTCGGTGTGTTTATCCTTAACATACACTTAGCAACCATCAAGTGAGCTTAAATAAAACGTAAACCTGATATGTTTTTTTTTTCGCTCTCTCTTTCATTCTGAGTGTGTAAAAATATCCTAGAAAAAAAAGTGTGAAAGAAAAGGGGAACGTATTTTATGCTGGAAACTTATGGAAATGTAGAAAACCGTCTGGTTATGGAGATAGAACATTCTAGAAATTTTACTTTCCCAGATAGGTAGTTCTAAGTTAAACATTAAAGTGCTTTCATTTTTGTAATGGTGACAACGTAAGTGGCGATTAATGTAACCCAAATATAGCGATCACCCTAGTGGCGATTAGTGTAATATAAATATAGCGATCACCCTAGTGGCGATTAGTGTAATATAAATATAGCGATCACCCTAGTGGCGATTAGTGTAATATAAATATAGCGATCACCCTAGTGACGATTATTGTCACCTAAATATAGCGATCACCCTACTGGCGATTAGTGTAATCCAAATATAGCGATCACCCTACTGGCGATTAGTGTAATCCAAATAGAGCGATCACCCTAGTGGCGATTAGTGTAACCCAAATATAGCGATCACCCTAGTGGCGATTAGTGTAATCTAAATATAGCGATCACCCTAGTGGCGATTAGTGTAATATAAATATAGCGATCACCCTAGTGGCGATTATTGTCACCTAAATATAGCGATCACCCTACTGGCGATTAGTGTAATCCAAATATAGCGATCACCCTAGTGGCGATTAATGTAACCCAAATATAGCGATCACCCTAGTGGCGATTAGTGTAATCCAAATACAGCGATCCCCCTAGTGGCGATTACTGTAACTCAGATACTAGCTATATCTGAACGAGGGAAACACACACAACTTAAAATAAACTGTTTACTAGTAGACTACAAAAACGTATCTATAATGGTTTTACTGTCAGACATTTGATTTCCGAAATTAACGATCCGTACATATAATAAAAGCGTACTAATTATATACATTTCATAGTCTAAGAAATAATTATTATATACATATTTCACGTGTTTCAATTTAGCTGTAAACATATGTTTTGGATGCAATTTTCTTCGTATTATTTTAAATCGTTTATTTTCATGTGAGTTACGAGAGTTAAAATCTAGAGAGATATAACGATACTGTAGAGCTATATCGTATACTTAAACACCCTGCCCCCTCGACACAATATTGATTTTCTCCAAACAGTAGCTGTTTTAATTTATTTGGTGCCAACACCACACTGTTACTACTTTTGTTTCGTGTCGTTTTTTAAATATATCGTGGAGTATACGCGATGTTTGTTGGTGTATTATCTAGTGAATTACGTAATATTACTTTATCTCTTTACCTCGTTTTACTTAATCACTTTGATCAGCTGTTTGAAGAAAGATACTGTACTGAACGACATTGATTTACGTTCAGTTTCAATTTATTAATACGGTAATTTGTAACGACGTACGATTTTTTTTTTTTTTCGTGTGTGTGTTTACCCTAATACTCTATATGATGTATCAACCAAGAACATTGCCAAAAGAAATGTATTATTCGTTGTAACTGAGAGTTGAAATGATAAAATTCATCATATGCCGCCACGTTTACGTGACAGGTTGCATGGTGCTCTTTTTACACCTAGGTTTTTGAATTTTTCTTGTATATCTACTAGTGTGTGTGTTTTTTCCGAGAACTAGTCCTAACTTCTCGTACACAGTTAGTTCTCTACCGCTTGAGCTAATGGATTTAACGCCATAGCAACCGCTAACAAGAAACATATTATATTCCCTGATATTAATAAATTAACAGGAAAAAAAAAGTGGGTGAACTTATGGGATTTGTTTTATATACAATGGTCTTCGGTTGGATAAATTCGCACCATATACCTGTTCACACCCAAAAGAGTACTTGTATTGTACACACGTGGATAGGTGTTTTAGTTGGCACGGACGTGAGATAACACCTTTATAAAAAGTTGGACCTGTACTCACCTGGATTCCACATGCAGGTGAGTACTGAAGACGTTTGTTCTATTAATCCTAGTTGTTGGATTTCTCTGAGAACAGGGAAATGTTCTCTGACATATTGAAGGTCGTAGCTATGGCGATATCATCATTGCGGTCACATAACGATGATATATCTAAGCTGCGAAAAATAATAGTAAAAACTGACTGAATGTTTATTTCCAATGTATTTCTAGAACAGACTTCATAATAAATGTAAATGAAGTATGAGGTATTTCTGTCGAATGAGGACATCGTCCGTTATCCGGGTACTGTCCCCGAAGACAGTTTGTTATAAAAAGCAAAACTACGTAATTAGTTATTTGAGCTCTGCACACCGCGGATAGCGAAACCCGGTTGTTAGAGTTATAAGCCCTCATACTTTCCGCTGAGCAATGACGAAGTTTGGAAGAATTCTGGAAAAGAAACGTTTCTAAACATATATTCAGTGTACCATATTTTATTGTTCTTGATTTAAGCATTATTTGTACTCAACTGAAACTAGGCCTAACAAATAGGGACCAGTACCGTCCTTTGCCAAGCGTAAAGTAAAATCAGTTAGGCCTAACTTCTAGTGGTCGTGTATACGCTAACTTGAATGAACTGTGTTTGAGGCCGAATAATGTATTATTATAATTTGAAGTTGCATAATTAAAGAGCACTCGCCGAAAATGACCACCACCAGTCCATTAAGAGGAAATAACATGTTTCTTCTTAAATCTACGCACTTTTATCTTTACTGCTAAAGAACAAAAATGTGTTAGTTTTTTGAATAATGAATTTTATCTACCAAAAGTATAAGCTCTCTCAGAAAACATGTATTGCATTAATTTTGTGCAAAAACTAATTTCTGGTTTCTAAAGAAACAAAAAGCAAGAGAATCATTAGTCTTTTTAACTATTTTGTAATGAATTAATATCCCTTACAGTATTGTAAAGCCAGTTTTAATAATTAAGCAGATACTAATCAATTAAACTAGTGATTTCAATTCAATAACTTGTGACTAATGAGGCCTAATACTAAGTGGTTGTCGCAGAGGGAAGTAAAGAGAAGCGGCTTATCAGTTATACTAAGCCTAACATGTGTAGATACATTGCGTTATCAAACTGTCAATAAGTTAATAATGGTCTTAATAATGAGGTATACGTCTGTGAGCTTTTGATGCTCATTTTTCAGAGCACTTGGTGGTAGCAAGTAGAGTTCTTACCTCGTTAATAAATAAATAAATCTTAATTTCCACACTGTATTGCAAAGTATAAACTATACAATGGGCTCTCTACGTTATGTCCACCACGAGGACTCGAACTCCAGATTTTAGTGTTGTAAGTCTGTAAACTTACCGTTAACCCAAAGAATAGTGGCAAAACATCTAAAAAACTGTTATACAATAAAATTTTATTTGTTTGCTGAATTAAAACAAATGTAGGCTACATACTGGACATTTTAATATATATATTTCCGTCAAGGAAAATAATATTTACTGTTTTTCGTCAAAATGTTGACTCTTGTTTAAACTTTATTCATTTTTAGGGGGTTTCTCTTTCATGAGTGAAATAGTGTGATGTGTAATTAACTAATAAAAGCCTGTCGAATAAAGAGGAAAAGGCTTAACAAAAACAGAAAGTGATTTATAGTTCTTACACAATTTTTCGTACAGGATCTTAATTACTTGTTGGCACGTTCTCAGTTACGTTAATTCGACTATTGTTTGAAATTGGATGTGCTCTTATTCACAAAGAAATGTCCAAACATACAATAACCTAAAAAAATGTAAACTTCGAACGAGAGTCACCTCGTTAAGGGTTGGATTTTTAAAGTGTACACTGGTACAAGAAATGAAACTTTAATATAAAACATTAATATTGTTCCTTTTCTGAATACAAATAACTTTAAGGGAAAATAATCATTCGAAGGATAAAAAACGTAAAGACAATACACGTGTTTATCCATCGGATAAAAAAAAGATTAAACTTTCCAAAGAGAAGGCACCACGAAAAACGAACACGTACCAACAAATTCATGTAATTATTGGCTTATTTGTTTTATTTAATTGGTAAAACGTTAATTGCAATTTATTAGTTTCAAAGTAGTTACTCTAAAAAACTGTAATAAAAAAATTGAAATCAAGACATTTGAAAATCATGCGAGGTAACACGGAAATGATGATAATCACACGACTTGTATGTTTGGCTAAGCCTAAAACTTAAACCTAAAAATCGCCGTTTTTAATAAAGTAAGGTATTGAAACGAGAATTAAGCATGTTTCAAGTACCGTTGAAGGTAATGACGTGGATAACTGGGACAAGTAACATCATTTGTTCAGATTATGTATAACCTTTATCGCCTTATATGGTGCGGAGGAGGGTAAAGAGAGAATTTAGAAATTCTGATTAAAAGTAAGCTAACAACGTGTATCAAAACTTTTGTTAAAGTCACTTATGAATTAGTGAAAAAACTGTATAACAGAATGACTAGAAATGTTTGACGTCGTAAATAAAAACAACAGAATATGAAAACCTGTAATTATTAGAATGGATGGAATAATCAGATAGGTATCCTTGTTAAAAACGACGTTTTTTCTCAGTTATCCCAATAATTCATATGTGATTCGCTCGGCTTAGGAAAATTTGGTTAGGCCTAAATCCACATGCTACTCTAACATGTAAAATAAGTTGTGTTTAGCTTTGAGTGATTGTTCGATGTTCATGCACGCACGCGAATGCGTTAGAGATATTTTAAACATCTTTAGAAATTCAAATTTTGAACAATTTTAACCGCAAACCTTTTTTTTTTAGAATTTCATTCATCCAAGTAAATGATGCATTTATGAAACCATTCTTCATTAACTTTGAAAGAGAAATTTTGAATTTAATTTTCACAACCTGGCCAGCTGATCGTAGCACTTTAGAAGTTTTGAAACAAAAAATATATATAAAATTTCAAGGTGGAACTTTTGTTTCCACACAGCTCCAACATTACTTTGTGTTTATTTTGGAAGTTATATGCTGCTTTATATGTTTTGCAATATTTTGACGAGTGGTTAAAAATTAATAAAGTTAATAATAATCGAGAGAGAGAGAGTTATTTAATGATGTATTTGGCTAAGCCTAAAAACTTAAACCTAAAAATGACCGTTTTTAATAAAGTAAGGTATTGAAATGAGAAGTAAGCATGTTCCAAGTGTATATATACTATATATACACGCGTGTAATGTAGTGGAATTTAGGGTAGGGAAAGTTATATTTCTACACACTTTTCAGTTGATTAATATTGATATATATATATATTTGGCTAAGCCTAAAACTTAAACCTAAAAATGACCGTTTTTAATAAAGTAAGGTATTGAAATGAGAAGTAAGCATGTTCCAAGTGTTTCAGTTGATTAATATTGATGTTTGAAATGGTGGATTTTTCTTTCAAGAAGTATTTATGAGAAGGGTCAAGAATTATTTTTATGTGGTGTTCATTCCCTCCTTTTTCCTCTTCCCTTGGGAAGGGATAAAATGCGCAACAACTTATCATTCAGTTTATACTTTTATATTACTAATATGACGAGGTCTAGAGCTTAGGCATCCTCATAAAATTTATTCCATTACTTTAATAGCTTTGGTGTTTAAGTATTGTTGTGTTGAGTTCTCTGAGAGAAGAGATTCCACTGGTTGACATTTTACGTCATTTACGCCCCCCATTTCTCCGGAACCATGGCATATATGTTCCAGTACATATACACAGACCGATGGGATCCAAGTAATTTAGCAGCATTTAACTTGTCTCTCAACTGCCTTATTTTTAGTTTATTTTGAATTTGTTACTTTCTTTCCTCTCTCTCTTATTTGTGGAAACGTATTTAGTGTCGAGAGGAGTTCTTTGTCACGACGGGAACACACACACACACTTGATGTTAGTATCAAAAGGCCGGGTTAGAAGACAATAGCATTCATTATGCTGAAACAAAAACCCACTTTTTTATGTTACTTTCTCTGTATATATTTGTAAAATATAATTATAAAAAGTCCTTATCAGAATTTTTCTTTAGTTTAAGCTTTGAAGATAGAAAATAAAAGCGTAACATGTTACAGTACACCGTAAACTTTTAAAATCGCCAAAATGTAGTGTCAGCTTTTCACTTGATAAGATGGTTTAAATTGACTTTGCGAGATTACTAAGACGATGATTACACAGACACTTGTGTAACTGCGAGGAGGAAAAGGTAGACAAATCGAGATAAACGCCCCCTTACGGCCAGAAAGATAATTCTTACGTTTTCAATAAAATCGATTAGAAAAAATATATATATATTCAGTGAGAGCTGAACAACGTTTATCAGAATCCTTCAGACAAGATTCATGTTTGAGCTGGTCATGGGAACGGAAATAATTGAGTTAGAATTAAATTCTTAATGTCCTACTATGGCTTAAGCCTAAACTTCCACATCCACGCCCGTCTTTCAGTGCCTATAACAAGAGTAAACCTTTAAACAGTGATGAAATAAATGCAGGTTCAAACATACACACTCACTCCATTAGATGCAACAATGTAACCGCTTTTTATACAGTGCAAACTGTTATTAAACTTGAGTCGCCGTGTTAACCCTCAAATTACTAACTTGTTTTTATATGACATGTGGGACCCATATAATGTGTCATACTGAGTAATTCACTTCTGCCTTTTACTGCAAAGAACTGAAAAAAGGGAACCCTAGTTGCAGTAAGTTAGTGGTATTAGTCAGTGGGTGGGAATGAGTTGCAAAGTGGGGATGCTTAACTAGACTTTTAGATTTCATAATGAAAGACTGAGAGCATAAGGAGCTGGTAAAAGCAGCTCGGTTTAGGGGTCTGGAGGCACGTCCGCAGAAAATTAATATAATAATATGATTTACAGTTGCTATATAAGTCAAATATGTAAATATAAAAACCAGCACCCCTGGTTCCGACGCCTTTGGTATTAACTAATAGTATATTTTGTTTACATTGTTTCTTGTTTAGGGACCCTGTAATAAAGTCATGGGACCACGAACAATTCAATGCATGCATAGTGTAGCGAAACATACTTTAAAAAGCCCAAGGGTTAAGTAAACAAAATGTCGTACTTCAGCAGAAATGAGGTTAATATATTTTTGAAGTGTAAATTTATACGGAACAGCAGCAGTAGTAGACACGAGAAATAAAACGTAAATTCTGTTATTTTGTCTGAAGTGATTAATAACACGGATCCATTACAGTGCAAACAAAACATCTAATTAATATTATCCTTGTCTTATTTTGTTTTTAGAATGACTGAATTTGAAATCTAATTACAGCCGCGGCTATTGGAGATTCCCTTCTGTGTTTATTTTTTGTTTGTTTATTTGTTTTTCAAAGTGAAGAAATATTTTCCAGATACTTTTAATCTGTGAGATTGTTACCATGTAAAAATCGTCGGTTAATAAAAAGTGTTTAATCTTGAACCCAGTGACTAAGACTCAAAAATATTTATTTTGTTTAGATTAAACGTAAATTCCACGTAAAGTTCTTCGTTCAAATTATTTATGGTCGTTATAACTTTTAATAGATGATTCAAGGCAATTATCAAATCCCTAAGAAGGATTTTCGTAAAATCACATTGGGCCGTCAGCCCTGTACCCGCCGCAGAGATCAAACTCCCAAATTTATCTGTGAACCAACCTAGGGAAACAAACGCTAAGGTATATTGAGAATCATCTGATTTATTCGGGTGTGTTTAGATGTCCACTTCCGGTGTCTCAGCGGGTCTGAGGACTTTTTTTTTTTACGCTAGAAATCAGGTTTCAATACCCGCGGTGGTCAGAGCACAGATAGCCCATTGCGTATCTTTGTGCTTTAAAAACGTACAAATAAAGAAGTTCAGTCGTATTACATTTCACCTACAAGCTGGCACTAAGTGTGCTCTTACTTCTTTCTTTCAAAAATACGAGATTGGCGAATTGAATAAAACGTGTGTGTGTGTGTGTGCGACTTTTGTTTCACTGTGCTACTAAAATAACGTCAGAAAAAAAAAGGACTTTTCAGAGAGAGCTACAGACATTGCACCAACAATTTTTTTGACTTTGGGATTTCTTCAAATGGAATGTCTAATGAAATAGTCCACGAAACGTGAAAGATCTGAAAAGAATCAGTAGAAATGAGATTACATTTAAGGACCGATGTACACTACCTATAACAGAGGATGCATGCAGTGGTTTTATTTGGGAACGTGCTTGATAATCTATAAAGTGTTTGAAACATCACGTCTAATATTTTCTCAGTAACGATTACCATTCTTAATGCGTCTATAACGAATTTTTATTTTATTTTATTTGTATTTATTAATTTTTATTTAGAACAAAGCCATATTGGGCTATCTGCCCAGTCTACCGCGGAGAATCGAACCTCGGATTTTAACATTATTAATCTTTAGATTTGCTGCTGATTCGCCAGGGTACAGTTTAAAGTAGTCTTGCATCTAGTTAAACAGTGTTCAAAATATATTTTTTTGTTTCTTATTTTTATGATAAGAACAGTTGTGTAAATATGTTTTTCGTTGATTTATAATATTTTCAATTTAAAATATGTTCTGTTTTAGAGGAACTTTGAAGTGACGGCTGTATTTATGTATGTGTATATATATATAGATCAACCAAAAAAAAATATTGACTCTCAAAAATGCGTTCAAAGAATGAGTCTTTTTCCGAAGTTATTCAGTGAACGCTTTATTTGAGATATTGTTTAACTTATTCATCGTAACTCTTTATTAACTGATTTCTTTATATTGATTCTTGCAGATACTGTTTACATAGATAGCCAGCGGCCAGATCAACCCTTTTATGTATGTAGTATCCAGTCCTTCTTCAAGGTAGGATCCGTTATTTTTTTATCCATCTAACTCTTTCTCTGTTGTTAGTTGTCTATTACTGTGTGTTATGTGCGTGCGCGCTAGAACTATGTAATACATGTGATATATATATATATATAAGGCTCTCTAATGCCGTTCTAGTATAGCACTTAGTGTAAATTAGATTGTATGAGCCGAAGCTCGCAAAATAGCTACCCAAGTGTCATAATTTAAAGGACTTTTGGGAATGGTTTCGGCGTAAGAGTAAAATGTTTACTATGATCAGAGTGTCGTAATACATTCTTGCTAAACAGTGTTGATGCCTGAGTATCGTAATACGTTCTTGCTAAACAGTGTTGATGCCTGAGTATCGTAATACGTTCCTGCCATTCGTTGGTAATGGGCGTTTTGTGGCTAGATGTTGGAACAAGAGCCAGAGATATGCGCAGTCGGGACCGGGGCTAACGGGGTGGGGCAGGGGGCTGGCTAGCTTAAATGTCGTTTCCCTACCCCCACCCCAACTTAATGCCGTCCATTACTCTAATTTTAGATTTGGCCCCATTATACGTCTAACTGCCTCCCTCTCCCCCGTTAAAAAACGTTGAAGTCGGGACCGTGAGTAGTGTTCATCATGTCTAATTTCAAAGTAATACATTCGTGTAATAAGCGTACGTTCCCTGTACAGATGGAAGTACTTCCCGCACGAGAAACGACTATAATTCTTCCCCTGAATGCGTGTTAAAGGCTGCTTGTTGAATTATTTATTTTCCATTAGACTCAAGCATGGCAAAACTTTGTTTGGATGATATAATAACTGTTATTGGACATTATAGCTCGATTATCACAAGTTTAGTTGAGATTATACAGTACAAGCCACAAGTTATGATTGTATTGTTGGTGTTCAACTATCGTGATGTACAGTACACAGCGTCGTAAGAGTGTCTTTAATTTTCGTGCACATAGTAATGACACACTCGTTAACCGAATGTCGAAGTGTTTTAAACACATTTTAAGCCTTTTACTTAGGTTACATGGGGCAATGGCTGGAATCTACTATAAAGTTAACCGTGTTTGTGCTCACTGCCCTGGGTAGCATAGATACTTGTACAAATTAGTATGAGTTGGTGGTTTCTCCCCTCTATATGTTACTTGGAATAGCCGATGATCTATATAGCTTTGGATTATGGGGAATTGCAGTTGGGTTCTTTGTCTCTTTTTTTTAAAGTGCCTTACATCGTAGTCCTTCTGTCTTTTTTTCTTTTTCTGATGCACCTCCAGCAACAAGTGAAGTCCCATCAGAAATTAAGAGGCCTGCTATAACAAACTTATTGTTAATAAAGATTTGTTTCATTGTGTTTACTTGTCTTTCCTTTGCTGTCTCTGTTCGACTTATTTCTTGCATAACATTTCTGGAATGTACATTTTGTAGATAATTTTAAGATTAGATGTTGGAAATCAGATTACATTCCTTTATTTGCTCATTTTTATTCGCCAAAACATGAATTTCACCGAAGAAAAGGTGAAGTTGAGGCCTAATCTATTCTTTGATTCGTTACTCCCTCTGCAACACACTAGTTTCACCGAATTCACGGTTTATCATTGCTACTTGGAAAAGCAAAGCAAGTAAATAACGTAGGCCTTATATAGTGGTGGAATGTAAACACTTTCTTTGAACTAAATGTGTGGTCCTATGCTCACTACTAAATTCATCAATTGCCTGCGGCTGCTCTAAACATTAAGTGTACCAGCCATACACTGTATAGGACACACTCTGCTGGAAGCGGACTGTACCCTATTCGGCGAATCATCAGTCAATGAGTTAATTGTGTCACATGTCATCTAAATCAAACACTTTACACTCTCACTCTTTGCTTAGTATGTGGATTTAGGACTAAACTAAATCTCCTAAGGTGGCCGAAACTCGTGAGGTATGCTTGGGATTATGGCCAAAAATTTCGATAAAACAAAGATGCTTTTTTTGATGAATCATTACGGGTTTTTGTTTTTATTACAATTCGTACTCATAGTTAAGACTGCTAGATCTGTGTATTAAATTGCCTATATTTTCTACATGATTTTTTCCTATGACCTATGTAGGGAGCTCATTTTCTTACGAACTTGACAACAAGCTGTTAGGACTCAATGTTGAGGAATATTTTAATGATAGCGACCCTTTCGTAACACAGTTATAACCGAGTTATCTACATAAGTAAGTACAATTTATTGTCGAGACAACCACGAAACTGACGTGGTGTTAACTTTGTTGAGTTAGTCGTGATCATTATTGTCGATACAACCACGAAACTGACGTGGTGTTAACTTTGTTGAGTTAGTCGTGATCATTATTGTCGAGACAACCACGAAACTGACGAACAAAGTTAACACCAGAGATAGTCGTGATTATTATTGTCGAAACAACCACGAAACTGACGTGGTGTTACCCTTTGTTGAGTTAGTCGTGATCATTATTGTCGAGACAACCACGAAACTGACGTGGTGTTAACTTTATTGAGTTAGTCGTGATCATTATTGTCGAGACAACCACGAAACTGACGTGATGTTAACTTTGATGAGTTAGTCGTGATCATTATTGTCGAGACAACCACGAAACTGACGCGGTGTTAACTTTGTTGAGTTAGTCGTGATCATTATTGTCGAGACAACTACGAAACTGACGCGGTGTTAACTTTGATGAGTTAGTCGTGATCATTATTGTCGAGACAACCACGAAACTAACGTTGATAAGATGTTGCTACGGATCTCACCTCTGAATAAAAATTGAAGTTGTTGCCCCGACGTAAAAGTAGATAAAAATGTCTTCTTTGCTACATTTTGTGCACATTTAAAATGTAACGAGCTGGTGATTGGTTGCTGTCCAATCCGTACTGTAATGGGAACAAAAAAACAAACTTCGGTTTAGTAAGTCATATGGCATTTTACTCAGAAACATCTTTTTTTTTTCTTGTATGGAACACACACATCTAAGATCCAAAACCACCTTCTCTTGTAAAGCAAGCGTTTTTAGTGTGTATATGTATAACTAGTAGAATGTCTAGTCTGTCTTCTTGTGCCGTCTATTTATAATGCAGTGATGTAAGTGACATAAATTCGCTTCTAAGTTACACGGCTCTTGCTAAAGGCATTCGAGAGAAGGCAACAGTTCTGTAGTCAACAGTCATTAATGTAGAAATCAAGTATTCCTGATTAACCGGGTTATTTTAGCAATGTCTGCTGTTGTTTAAGGCGTATCCTCCATGTTTATTTATTAGTGGTATCAGCTATTAATGTTTTATGAACAAGATATTTCGAGGAATACAAATAGTTTGTAAACTGAAAAAGAATTAACATCTTAGATGGCGCTAATGTAGCTCTAAATTTGTTTGTTTGGAATTAAGCACAAATCTACACAATGGGCTATCTGTGCTCTGCTCACCACGGGTATCGAAACTCGGTTTCTAGCGTTGTAAGTCCGTAGATATACCACTGTACCACTGGGGGGGGGCGTAGTTCTGAATAATATATTCTTGTATCGGAGGCCTCGACCCGAGTTTTTTCTGAGGCAGGCTTATTAGCAGTGTATTGAC